CTCTCTTAAACTCAGTATTGAATCCTCTATTAAGGCAGCGAATCGAAACGGAGCGACCGAGTACGATCATTGCGACCTGCGATCTTACGGAAGGAAATCGACAATAACATGCCCTTTCCCTTTTTGCTTTCTGGGCTAATTGCTGAGCATTCTGCGACTCAATACTCACGTTCGTTACATAACAACAGAGGAAAGCCGGAATGGGCCGTCTGCCAACTGTAATCACTGAACAGGTCACAGTTCTAGCCCTCTTTTTGATAATGTCAAAAATGCTAAACACTTGTTTACAAATCGATTTCCGCAGCGAGTCTACTTTGTGACAGAAACGTACCGATTTGATCTTGAGGCAAACCACATGCGATTCCAGAACACCATACCAGAACGCCGATTTGACTGCTGCTTGCTCACCATAAAGTTGCACCACTACCTTTGCCACATCGGTGTTCTTGAACTGCGTACCAACGCCCTCCATTCAACAACTCGATGTTGCAACAGCTGGCCCTCGACCATTTTCAAACCCGGAATGTGGGGGTTCCTTGTGCATATTGCACAGGCTAAGTCTGATCGCGTTTGCCATTCATACGTGATGATCACTGTACTAAGCTCCTTTGATATCGAAGCTTTCTCTCCCAGTGTTTCTTCAACTCCTGATCGGACGGCATGATCGGCCGGGTTGTGGAGTACATCCGGGCCAGATCAAAACAAGCTTCTCCCTTCCACTACCTAGATAGGAAAGCCCTTGTTCTAAACGAGTCAAACATGGCCAACGTCATCCTTATTCTGCAGCCATCAAGTGTTGTAGCTGCCCCGTGTGACTCAACGTTCGTCTCTTCGAGGAAGCTGGACGAAGCAAAGAGCTGGAGCAGATCGCCTTAGAGCTCAGATCGTGTGAAGCGTAGTGGTTTTCGGATCCGTCAGAGACCTAGTGAAACGAAACAACTTCAGGGGCGCTCGGCCGATATGTTAACCCCGAAAAAGAGAGCTGAGGAGGTTCACCCTCAGTGTCTTTGAAACGCCCCCTTTCTCCGTGCGAGACCGAGACCGTGGAAAGGTCAAAGAACACATGCGTTACGATGCCGCATTTGGTTCCTGTCACACGTTGACAGCGTGCACGGCTTCATCATTACCTGCAGCAATTGGTGATGATCCGAAGCCCTAAGCTGCATCATCTTTTAGAATCTTCCTGTGCCTGGGTGCCCTCCACACCTGCACGCCCAGTCGAGTGAACCATAAGCGAGGGGCTTGATTCCCAAATTTAGGGCATCAGATCTAAACGAATGTTCCGCGGATATGTCAAGCTGTAAATAGCCTAGATGCAAAACACGATGGGATCTGTGATCTTGGCTTGCAGACTAACCGAGCGCACCGACATCATATCATGCGCATGCCGTCCTCGGACACTCGTGCTGAAGCGGGCGGGAAGGACACGACCCGTTACCAAAAGGGCCTCGCCTGGGTTTGTGATAGCAATTCGAGCGGAAACCATGACCACAAGCAGCTCAATCTCATCACATGACCTGAGGAACACTCCATTCTGCTCTTGGTCCGTGTCGGAGGGGGGGGCCAAGGATACTAATCTCCCGGCTCTCTGGTTTAAAACCCTGGAGGCGACAAGCTCGAAAGCTTGCTCGAGTCAGCCGCAGGGTCTGCCCCCCGATTCCCTTCCCCTTCTTCAGCCCATCTCCCGCCTTCCTTTTTAAGATTGGATCGTTCTTGGGTTTCTTTTCCATCCATCCATACTACCGGAATACACGAAATCTCATCAACATGGTTTACACGGGGAAGCCCTCGGGCGGATGCAAGTTGTGTAGGATAAGAAAGGTCAAGTGCGATGAGGCGAAGCCCTTCTGCATGAGATGCACGAAGTCGAAGAGACACTGCCCAGGCTACGGCCCCGTCGTTCGCGATTCGTCAAAGTCCGCCGACAAATTCAAGAAGATGAGAACGAATAGCACCGATAGCAATATGTCTTCCGCCGACTCATCGACAAAAATTAAGATCGGGTCGCCCGGATACTGTTGCGACAAAACATCGTCATTAAGCCCGCCAAGAAGAAACTCATCCCCATTCAAAATCGGACATGAAGAGGGTGACCTCATCGAATGCTTCAAAAACGTTCCAGGAGGATTGACGAATCCGCTCGACGAGCAAGCCTCGTGTCTCTTTCTCTCCGAATTCGTCAACGTACCTTTGACACCAACAGCTCGGGGCTATTATGCCTTTTTGCCGCGTTTCCTCGGCCGTGGTCAGATCTCAGTCTGCCTTTCAGCTGCCTTCAAGGCAACCTCTATGGCCGCCCTGGCGATGCGACAGTCTAAAGGAGCAAGAGGCCCTGCCCTCCTTCGTGCGCAAGAGCACCATGTGGCCGCTTTACGAGCAGTTGGCCAAGCGATTGCCGATCCCAAGGAGATCGACAGCGATCAAACCCTAGGGGCCGTTCTGATGCTGGCTTTCTACGAGGTAAGCTATCATTATTGTCATGGCTCTACTCTATGCTGATATATTACAGACGTTAATGTCAAAGGACTCAATGAAGGAATACATCAGCCATCTCAAAGGTGCCGCCAAGATTGTTCAAGTACGTGGCCAGAAGTGCCTAGAGACGGATGAGGGTCGGGAAATGTTCGCCATGACACGCAACCAATGCATATCCGTCCAGAACCTATTCAAAGAGTCGGAAATGTCCGGCTACTCATGGCTACTGTACAATGAGGCGGTTCAGCGTTCGAATCGCGCCACCGTCGACATCAATCTCCTCTGCAACCAACTCCAGCAGGGCGTGGATCGCATCATCGCCCTGGCGAGAAACCCTACAGATGAGACTGTGGATAAGATGCTCGAGCTACTCGAAAAATGCCGGAAACTCGAAGACGAGTTCAGAAAGCTCAGCGAGAATCCGAATCCGCAGTGGAAAGTCGAGGTCGCCGAATGGGTCTTTGACCGAACCGACGAAGAACTCGACACCGAGCCCACGTTTGACGGCCAAGTGTACAAGTTTTTCAACTTACCCATGGCTGTGTTGCATTTGGTCACATGGTGTTCTCACCTCAACCTCATTACGACGATGATCCGCGCCAGCTCATGGTTAGCATCGGCTGGTAGAGAAGGCTTGAGCGACTACGACGAGTACGGCGATCTGGCTCAGTCCGCGAGCGCCCGGGTAGCGAACATTGTTTCAGCAGTACCGTATTTTTGCAGTTGGAACGGGTACGGCGTCATTGTTTCTCAGTTCCCCTGCGGCACGACAAAGCCAGACGATCCGCTCAAGGGCGAGGCCGGTCTCATTGTCATGTGGCCGCTCGCTATGGCCTTGAAGAGCGACTACGCCACGCCAAGACAGAGACGGTATTTGAGGGGCCGCCTCCGTTACATTGCAGACGTATCTGGTATCAGTCAGGCCAGGTTTTTAATGAACGAAATTTGATATGACGATGGTTGAAACGATATTTTGGGTGTAATTGTACGTGGTAAGATTCAGGCAGGGTTGGCAAGATGGCGTCGGCTACTTTGAGCATAATGGTTTGGGGCGCATATGAGGTTACATTGCGGGAGTTGGGATACCAAACCTGGGCGGCTCCAGTTATCAGACTGATTTTGAGGAGTGATACCATATTTAGTGACGATACGTGTAAAACCGAGACGAATAAAGTACAGAATTGTTTAGTGCGATCGAATGTCTATTCCAATAGCTTCATCCAGCACCCAGTAAGACGGCATTTGCGAGCCTTCGGCTTGCGTTGCAGCCTTAAGTGTCATTCTCTCAAGATCCCTCAGCAATCAGTCGGCCGACAAAATAAATGATACCAAATCATCGCCAGAGAACCTGTTTCTGAGAACATGAAAGATCACGATATTTCTCCAAGCGGCAATGTGCCGTGCCCTGTGCTGGTCTCTTGTTGGGGCCAGACCTCTTTTAGGGGTTTCATCCCATCGTCTCTGGTACCGCCTAGCGTTTCGAAGTGGGAGCCAAGTCCTGACGCTATTTAGACTTTGGAACCAACAAACAACTTGAAGTCTCCACACACTCGGCAGTATGAAGCGCGCACGGAGTAGAAACACGAACCAATGTCAACATCACCTCATAAATTGGATGACCAGCTGTATGCCCAGTCGAATTCTCTCCCTCGGTTGTTTTTCATCAGATATAGAAAGGAGCTACCCGCTTGTATGAAAGTCACAGTATGGTCCCTCAGAACGGGGGAAAATTGGTGTTTGTCCAGCCGCCTATTATTGTGGGTAGTCAACTCAGCAGTACGAATATCCTGTCAGGATTTCGATGATTGTATCAGCTTTCATTTAAGACTTAACAGAATGGGGTCAAGTCATGATCATAATGAGTACTGCGTCATGTTCTGAGAAACCACTGAGTTCGTCACAAGCATTCTGGCTCAGTCTTACAACGGACCGTCGGTGGGTTAGATCGGCCGTACATACATGGGATGATGGAAGATCCTATGAGCGTTGGCTATTCCAGCTGTGCTCCTTCGTTCGCGCCCTCAAGCGGATGCAGGGACTAGCATGTGTGCAACAAAGCGGCTCCCGCCGAAGTAGATCACCAGGCGGGTAGCAGCTTGTTCCCCAATGCAACCGCGGTCTGAATTATGCTAGTCATGGCTTGCGTACTCGACGACGGTCTATCCCATCGAATCGAGTACGAGTTGACGTCAAGACAGGTCCCTCCAGGTTTTCTCCAACTCGACGGTTTTGGAAAGTATTCTATACATGCATGCAAAAATATTAGAAATAAGGTCAGAGTATGATACGCCACGCTATTATGCCTCACTTGAGGACGTCTTCGTATACTGACGATAACACGCACATAACGGAACGGGCAGTCCCTAAGAATTAATCATCATCCGGCCTAGTCAAAGCATTTCAGAGTCTTGCAGTGAAGTCAAGCAATTCGCGACAGAGTTTGATAGCATTTATCTTCTTATTCCCAAACAACTTGATGCCCAATCTATATATTACCGCTAATAAAATCAACAGAAGCTAACAGTCTAATAAGTCCCATGCCCATACTTCGGCCGCCAGTCCAAGTTCTCCCGGAAAGTCTTCCAATCCACCGGCTCCGTTGTTCCAACCACTTGTGCCTTCACTGATCCACCATCCTTGTCATACCAGACTCCCTTAAAACACCGAGTCTCATGCAGCGTAACATGAGAATCAAAAACATCCCGAGAACAATCACACGTGATAATCTCCCGCTTCACACGAGAAGCCCTATTCAGCGGAAACAACATCTTCAAAACATCGGGCAAGATATCCGGATCACCCCGCTTCATGACCATGTCGATCGGGATATCCTCGCCAAACAGCAAAAACACCCGAAAGGAGGTGCGCACGCCGTCAGCGTGCTCCTTCCTGACGCCAATGCTGGCCATCTTCCTGTAGAGCTTCGTGGGCAGCGTGCCGTGGTGCGGGTCGAACCAGTTCGTGATGATGTTGTTAAACTCGTCCGCTTTGACGCAGAAGTCAAAGGTGCATTCGATCATGACGAGTCGGCGGCAGTGCGAGGGCTCGACCTTGTTGGATTCGCAAAAGTGGCGCTGGTATTTGCCGTTGATGGCTCTTTCCATCTTGATCTTCACGCCGCTAAGAACCTTGCCGATGATGGATATCTTCCTTTCGGCGGGCATTTTGTCTGGTTGTTTCTCAGGTACTAGGGTGAGGTGTCTTGAGAGTGAAGGGGATGGATTGTTCTGTAAGCGAAGCTGGATTGATTTGAGGTGGTAAATTGGTTCTTGGGTCTGTTTGTATGTATGTTGATGAAGTTTGAGACAGGAGATGAGGTTCATCTTGTGTCTTCATATACAGCTGCAACATCATGAGGCTGCTCGTTCTAAATATGACAATGAAGAGAAAGATCTCTTAGTTGCACAATGATATTGAGCCGATGTCAAAGGAGAGCATCAACCAATTCTTAAGTCTGCGTAAACACAATACCAAGAATAGTCCTGGGCTTTGTCAACCTACGATAATGCCCACAAAGTCTTTGAGGTCTTTGAGTTACAGAAGATAATGCCATTGCACTCCACTTAGCTATGTGTTCCTGTTTGAGGCAAGTTGAGGAAGGCGTTTTCATTGACAGCACAGCGTGGATATACACTTAGCAAAGCCAAGGCGTGAAAGAATGTGAATGAACGAAATAATGCTGTTCGAGGTGCAGACTGAACACATTTCTTTTTCTAAAGTAGACAATCTGCATGCATTTCAGAGTAAATCTCAAGTGACAGGACTCAGGTAGTCAACACTGCACTTAAAGCGACTTCAACAACCAACTTGACAAATCATACAATCAACTTTCAGAATATCGCTCACAATCAACTCAACTTAAACCTCACAGTTGATTGATTGCGTTGCATGTGAGTAAAGCATCGCAGCTAATGTAGCGAGTTCAAGCTTGAAACGTATCGAACCACGTCTGAAGTTGATTTCCCTACCCAGAGTCTTTTCTTCATTCCGGCGAAGCTCATGTGCTGCCACACGAGGTTAATCAAAGAGAGGAGATATTGACAACAAGAAGTTGGATATTTTATGTTGGATATCTTTCAACAAACCATGTAAATTCAAAAGGTGTAGAGTCTGATAGTCCGCCACGCCTGGTGTCGGGATGTGGCGAACAAATAGGAATGCTTCCGATAGGATAGCCTCCTCACAATAGTCTAAAGATTTCATGCGTGAACCATACAAGATTCGTATCTTGCTTCGCCTGAAGCTTGACCACTCATCGCATCTGTTGCAGTGCGAACCCGAACCAGGTACAGAACCGTGCAGACTTGGCAGGTAAGCTTCCGGACCCGAGGAAGCTTCCGATTTTCCATCTCACCTTACCTACCTTAAATAGGAAAGTAGAGTAACGTTCGACTTGAACTAAGTTGGCTGCACTCATACTTTGTGTGTGATTTCGAAAAAATAGAGAGGGGGGGAAAGCGCAAGGCTTACGATGATCTAAATGACACTTGCCAAGTCAGTAAGGCTGACGTGTTTGTGCAGCCCGCCGGCTCACGCTGCAGGGCTACTACTGTCTTGGATGTACGCGCCAACGCGGCGGTTCGCATGTGACGACTAGTAAGGTCAGGTTTGATCGCCCGTTTGTGGGGTAGTTGAAGCTGCAAGACGGGAAACATGCTCCCGCCTACGCGCCTGGCCGCATTGCCAACTCATCCCACACATCTGCCATGACATGTAATCCCACAACAGGCGCGCCTTAGCTGAAGAGTGGCGATGCCGCTAATTCTCGACAGTCTTTAATACCATACCACGAACCCACTTGTGTGATTCTTTTCTTTCATGCGACGGGGCCTTCATACTGTCCGAAATTCCGTCTGAGCTGTTGGAGAACTGTGACGCATCAACCCGACGTGTTCGTTGCGTGTCATGCTCGAGGTCTGAGCACCGAGCCAGCGGGAACACCTCAGTTACCAACCACCGCCACACCCAACCTAGATAATCGATTGGCAGCCTCTTTCAAGTTGACCTAGTTGATTTTGATGTCAATCGTGTAGTTGGGAGCTCCTTAGTTGACAAGCGATCATGAGAAGCCTTTCAACCTTCCTCTCGCTGCTGCGCCTGGCAGAATGGGTAACGCCAGCCCAAAGCGAGGCAACACCATCAAGCAACACGGCCGCGAAGCCGTGCTCCCCCGACACCTTTGTATTCCCCACGGAGCTCGAGCGCGCAAACCTCGTGGGCGTAACGGCGGCCGAGGTCAGAGACCTGACGTTCAACCCATTGACGCCAGAGGGTCGCGCAGCCATCCCGCCGACGGGTGTCAGCTTCTGCAACGTGACGGTCAAGTACGTCCACACGGGCTTCGAGGACGTGACGCAGGTGCAGATATGGCTTCCATCTGCCGAGGCGTGGAACGGACGGTTCGTGGGCGTCGGAGGAGGAGGGTACTCGGCCGGGCAGTTTGGGAGCGAAAAGGTCGTTGCGACGCTGGCGCAGGGATATGCGAGTATGTTTTCCGTCATTGATTCCTCTCTGCTCGCGGGTGCTCTTGCTGGAATTTCAGACGCGTGAGCGCAGACTAACGGGGCGATAGCAAGTTCAACGGACGCCGGGCACGATCATACGACGTGGGAGGAGGCGCCTTGGGCGTTGAAGAAAGATGGCACGGTCAATGAGCGATTACTCGTGAACTACGCCCACGTCTCGGTGCACGACATGACCATCATCGCAAAGTCGATTGTAACGCAATACTACTCTCGGACGCCAGAGTACTCGTACTGGAGCGGTTGCTCGACGGGTGGCCGGCAGGGCATCATCGAAGCGCAGCGATATCCGGGAGACTACGACGGCATCCTCTCCGGTGCACCGGCCGTGAACCAGCCAAGTCTCATCATCAGCACGTACTGGCCTCAGTTCGTGATGAACCAAAAGGGGGTGTACCCGCATATCTGCGAACTGATTCTCATGACGCAGTTCGCGATCGACGCATGCGACGAGCTTGACGGCGTAAAGGACAACATCATTGCGGACCCAGATAAGTGCGCATTCGATCCGGCAAGCGTTGTCGGCAAGGAGCTCGATTGTGGGAACATGAAGATGGTCATGTCGGCCGCAGCAGCTGATGTCGCGCGGGAGATCTGGCGGGGCCCACACGGCGCGGACGGGAAACCGCTCTGGCTGCCAAAGGGGTATCCAGTCGGCGCACCCTTCACAGGCCGCTTCGGGCTCGGTAACACAAACTGCAGTGTACCGGACGCGCCGTGCGTCGGTCGGCCATTTCAGATGTCGGTGGAATGGATCCGCAACCTCGTGCACAAGGACCCGAGCTACGACGTTAACGGCATGACGTTTGCCGATCTTGAGGCGGCATATGAGACTAGCAGGCGGGAGTTTGACAGCATTATCGGGGCCAACAATCCAGACTTGTCCGAGTTCAAGAGACTTGGGCGTAAGATGATTAGCTGGCACGGGCTGGCCGACGAGTGTGTAACGATGCGCACGTCGAGGGACTATTACGACCGGGTGCTGGCGGTGGACGCTGCCGCGGATGGGTATTATCGCCACTTTGAAGCGCCGGGAGTGTACCACTGTTATGGGCTGAATGGAACGTTTTACCCGCTCAAGGGGTTGGAGACGCTGCGAGCTTGGGTCGAGGAGGGAAAGACGCCGGCTGTGATGGACGGGTTTAAGCTAAGCGGAGGCAACGATAGCGCGGCGCCGACGAGACCATTGTGCGCATATCCCGCGACTGTCAAGTTTGTCGGTGGCGATGCGGATAAGAAGGACTCGTGGATCTGCGAGAAGCGATCAGAAAGTTGCCCGAAGCCTGAGTGGAACAGGGACGAGTTGTAGTGTTGGAGTCATGTAGTGGAGGATTGTGTTCCATGTCAGGTGTAGTAATTTGGATGGCATCCTATCGGTAGAGAAAATAATATCATGATTTCGTGGAATGGAACATCGTGGATAGATGATGGAGCTGTGGTCTTGTTGCCTTCCGGAGGGTTCTTCCGGAGTATGGTCCGCCAATGGCAAAGAGGCACTTTGGAGGTACTGGATAACTGTGTCTGTGTCCGGAGGAAAAGGCCCGCTCGAAAAAGACGCTTATTTCATCTTGGAATGCTTACATAAGAGCATCTCGAAGGACCCCGACACCCGCAGAAAAACGTGACTCCACCACGGCGAACCGAGGTGGGCTTCGCTGGGCCATCGGCGTCCCAAAACCCGAATTTCCCAGTTTTTCAGGGTCCAATCCCCCGCCAGTGGTCCCCCCATGGCCCCCCCTCTCCCGTGCTACTGGCCCACCCCCTTGGCCCCTCTCTGCTGACTTTAGCATCTTTTGCCGCCTCTGCTTTTTCGCCCTTGTTAGCAAATTCCCATGCGCAAGCCGCAAAAGGCCGCAAAAAACATTCGCCACCTCTCACAAAGGGCCCGACGCCAACTTTCCCTCTTAAAACAACCCTCCTTTCGATCGCTCTCGATCCCCATTCCTCGCTCCATGTCCGAAGATCGAGCCTCAACACCACCGATCTATCGGCCCTCCTCGACATCCTGGACAAACCACCACACACAACCAACACTCGTACCATTTGCCCTGCACGGCCAGCCAGCAGTGCCCGCCTGTGCTTCTGTCGCTGTCGCTGCGACCTGACCAGCCCGCCGTGGTCCCCGACGCTGCCGCTGCCGCTACTGCTGCCTGTCGCACCGCACCGTCCAGCTCCATGACCTTTGCGTCTGCGGACCTGCTCCGATCGCTCCGGGTCTAGACCCCCGGCCTTGTTCAATTCGTTCGGCCTCGACTCCAGGCCTTGTCTATTATTTCGTCTCGTCTTTGGGGATTACGGCCCCTCTCTGCCGGGTGCGTTCCCTCCGTGCTTGGCCGGCCCTTGGGCCACCGCTCCGATTGATGCCTTCCGGCCCCTCCAACCCACGATCCGCTTCCACCCCGAAATCAGGGTCGTCGCCCGCTGGCGCCCATGGCCCGACTGCTATCAGTACCGGCAGTGATGGCCAAGACGAACCCGGGTCTCCCAATAGGGTCTCTTGGAATCATCTTCGTCAGGGCGAGAGTCATCAGCGCGTGAGTCTATTTTATCTTTCTTCTGCCCTCCTTCCCCTTCCACATCCGTCCCTTATCGGGTGACCTTATCGGGCCCACCCGTCGTCTCTATTGGAACATACCTAACTT